TCCACAACTCGTGCTTGAGGTCGTGGTTAGAACAGGACACCAGTTGTCCCACTTGTCGCACATCACTCAAGAACCGCAATGAAGACGAGGACGAGAGTCCGGATCGCATCACAGGTGAGAGGACTGCGCGCGACAACCGAGTGGTGGGCGCCGGCGGCCGAACCAATCACTTCTTCCACTTCGACGGCTCCCGGTATGCGAGTTGGTTGCCAACCGTGTCCGTCGAAGTGACGCGTCCGCACCTCATCACCATTGGTGTGGCGCAGACACAGACACCCCAACAGGACTCCAATGAGCCCATAGTTAGCGCTCGAAACGCTCTCCAAAGCACTCACATCGAGAACATGAGTCGACAAGTGCTCGAGTTTTTCCCACACATTCCCATCGCTATAATCGCCGATGACTTACGAATTACGCGATCCGTCGAACTCACCGTTGAAAACATTTTAGACGCAAGAGTCGCTGTTCCCGTCCAAAGCACTTCCAGGTATGCCTACTATTCTCACCGTAACTATCATATAACANGCCAATGAGACGTCTTTCCATTTGGGAGTCCTCCTGGAGAGCGGCTTTATAGTGAGACTAATAGACGTGGTTTACCTCATGTTTCACGAGCCCCTCTGCATTTGGACACTCATTAACTCCGCCTATTGTTGTCTAATACTAGTGGGGAAAGTGATCCAAAAGCTGGTGTTCGGCGAACTCCGAGTCTCAGAGCAGCAGCACATGAAAGACCGCTTCTGGAACTTCGTCTTCTATAAATTCATATTCATTTTTGGTGTCATGAATGTCCAATACATGGATGAAGTAGTTCTCTGGTGCAGTTGGTTCTCGATTCTCGGATTTCTCTCACTATTGGCACAATTATGTAAAGACCGCTTCGAGTACCTGTCCTTTTCGCCAATGACTCCCAAATGGACGCACTTTCGACTCATCGTCCTATTGATGGCGATTCTCACCACTTCTGTGTCCCTCTTTGTGGTCTGTGTTTTGGTGGGAATACACGCCGGCATTAATACTTTCGCATTCATGACCGCCGAGTGCTCTCTGGTTGCCGTGAGGACACTGTTTGTGATCGTCCGCTACTCCATCCACTTATGGGATCTTAACTATGAGGGCGTTTGGGAGAACAGGGCTTCGATGGCCTACTACACGGAACTGGTGTTCGAGTTGTCCACTCTCACCATCGACTTCTGCCATCACTTGCATATGTTGTTCTGGGGGAACATTATCTTATCGATGGCATCGCTGGTCATTCTCATGCAACTCCGGTACCTGTTCTACGAAATCAATCGACGCATTCGTAAACACAAGAATTATTTACAAGTGAGTCATGCGGTGATCCATTGAAACCATTATCTCATTGTATGTGTGATTGTGTGTCCAAAAGGTGGTCCGTCTGATGGAATCCAACTTTCCGATGGCGACCAGCGATGAGTTGGAGAAGAACAGCGACGACTGCGCTATTTGTTGGGATCGCATGGAATCGGCCCGAAAGCTGCCGTGCGGTCACCTCTTCCACAACTCGTGCTTGAGGTCGTGGTTAGAACAGGACACCAGTTGTCCCACTTGTCGCACATCACTCAAGAACCGCAATGAAGACGAGGACGAGAGTCCGGATCGCATCACAGGTGAGAGGACTGCGCGCGACAACCGAGTGGTGGGCGCCGGCGGCCGAACCAATCACTTCTTCCACTTCGACGGCTCCCGGTATGCGAGTTGGTTGCCAACCGTGTCCGTCGAAGTGACGCGTCCGCACCTCATCACCATTGGTGTGGCGCAGACACAGACACCCCAACAGGACTCCAATGAGCCCATAGTTAGCGCCCGAAACGCTCTCCAAAGCACTCACATCGAGAACATGAGTCGACAAGTGCTCGAGTTTTTCCCACACATTCCCATCGCTATAATCGTCGATGACTTACGAATTACGCGATCCGTCGAACTCACCGTTGAAAACATTTTAGACGCAAGAGTCGCTGTTCCCGTCCAAAGCACTTCCAGGTATGCCTACTATTGTCACCATAACTATCATATAACACATCTGATGATTGAATTGAATTCTTGTCAGAACTCAATCAGAGTCTACTTCTACTTCTTCATCGTCTTCTTCAACGACTTGTTCGATGTCTTCCTCGACTTCTGTCAACTCAAACCAAAACCCATTAGTCTTTCCAAGCGATCCGAAGGGAGAGACGGGAGATCAGCAACGGATACACAGCTCTGAACACGAGTCAAGTGATGAGGAGCTGAGTTCGAGCGACTCGTCAAAAGGTGCCAAAGCTATCATTGGCCACAGATTCTCGAAATCATCACAAGAAAGGGAACTAATGCTCTCAAGACGTAAAGAAGATTTACTGAAAAACGCGAGAAAAAACTTTTTGAGTCGACAGAGACAAAGACCAGCCCTTAACTCTCGCCTCAACTCCTATTCCCATCCTTTTGATCAAAATTGAATGAATTTCTAAATTTATTTAATTAAAAGTTATTTTTTGTCAAACGAAATGAAAGTTTCAGTTGTTTTTAACAATTATGTGATTATAAGATATAGATATATTAAGTGTTTGTCATTTTCATCACTACATTAGTCTCTAAATGATATCATTTTTTCAATGTACCATATTTTGTGCCATTTATTTGTTTGTCTCGATTTATTTCGATTTACTTGTTTTACTTTAGCTGTGAAACTCGTATTGAGTGTCCTTTCATTGGTATACAAATTAATGGCATTTTTGGAATTATATTTAATATAGTTATATCTATTGTTGTATTGATTCATATTTACAAAAACATTAAATAATAAATCCTATATTTACTTCGAAACTTAAATTCTATTCATTTATTTATTTATTTCGATGGCTTATACGATTTGTTCCAATAAATGGTGTCCAACCACTGACACAACTTCCCTCTGTATTCGTGACAAAAATTAATTAAAGAATTAAAGAGAAGTTTTTTAATTAATTATAGAAATTGCACTCAAATGTTGTAGAAAATTAGAATTATATAATTCATTATAAGACTAGTTATTCCCAAAATGATAACAATCTGTCAGTGACTGACTGGCCTTGAAATGTGTTTACAGGTATCGCCAGAACCAGAAAGCCTTCACTACAAGCCCTCCAGCCTTTAGAAACACTTCGAAATCTGTAATATATTTACTTGAAAACCGTTTTTTAAACTCATTTTTATTTAACGTTAAGAAAGTTTTGGAATAAGTATTAAAATGTCTTTCATCGAAGTCAGTGCTGACAACCACTTCCCCATACAGAACCTGCCGTACGGTATCTTTTCCACCAAAAACAATGTTAGTATACGAGGAAAAAGTTTGAAATCAACCAAATTTACGCTACATTTAAAATGATAGGGCATTCCCAGACCTGGAGTGGCGATCGGCGACTATATCCTTGACTTGAGCCAAATCTGCCACTTATTTGACGGACCCATTATGAGGAACAAGGCGTCGCATGTCTTCAATAGTTGCCATTTGAATGATTTCATGGAAATGGGAACTCAGGCCTGGAGTGAGACCAGAGCTAAACTCATACATCTCTTAGGGAAAGACACTTCTGTATTGCGAGACGACCATAAACTCAGGGAAAAGGCATTTGTATTGCAAAGGGATGCCTCCATGCACCTCCCGGCCCGCATCGGCGACTACACCGACTTTTACTCGTCTATAGAGCACGCGACTAATGTGGGCGCTATGTTCCGCAGTGTAGACAATCCACTGCTGCCCAACTGGAAGTATCTTCCGGTCGCATATCACGGCCGCTCCTCTTCGGTAGTGGTTTCCGGTACTCCTATCCGTCGGCCTAACGGTCAGACCCGACCCGACGACACACAACCGCCTAAATTCGGTGCCTCTAAGGCCATGGATTTTGAGTTAGAGATGGCTTTCTTTATAGGCGGGCCCTCTAATGCATTGGGAGAACACATTCCCATCGACAAGACTGAGGACCGCATATTTGGAGTTGTTTTGATGAACGACTGGAGCGCCAGGTTTTTACACATTTTCAATGCATTAAGTGATTCAATTTATTAATAACCGGAATAACTATAGGGATATCCAGAGGTGGGAATACGTGCCTTTAGGACCATTTCTGGCCAAAAATTTAGGAACAACTATCAGCCCATGGATTGTAACTATGGAAGCACTGGAACCCTTCAAAGTTGCCAATACAGCACAGAATCCAAAACCTTTCGATTACTTATACCATTCAAATCCATACAATTTCAACATCTCTCTCAACGTTTCAATCAAACCGGAAGGAAAGGCTGAGACAACTGTTTGTAAATCCAATTACTCTCATATGTATTGGACAATCAAACAACAGTTGGCCCACCACTCCATAACTGGTTGTAATGTAGGCACAATTTATTGTTCATTTATTTATTTACATAATTTATTTCTTTGAAATAACTGTAAATATATATAAATTGTTCAGATAAGAGCGGGTGACTTATTGGGCACCGGGACCATTAGCGGCCCCACTCCAGATTCGTTTGGGTCATTACTGGAGTTGTCGTGGAATAGGACTAAAGCCATACCTCTAAAGGACGGCTCAACCCGTACTTATCTAGAAGATGGTGACGAAGTAATATTGTCTGGTTATTGTCAGGGGAACTCATATAAAGTAGGCTTTGGCTCCTGCGCTGGAAAATTACTCCCCGCTCTTAATCTCTAATTTCTAACCAATTATTTGATTGACATTTTATAACAAATTTTTGACAATTTTTACTTGCTTACTGTATACACGTAACGTTCAAATGATAACAGAATATGAATCAAAATAAATGATAAAAAATAAAGCATTAAATTTGTATTCACTTTATGTCCGGAATTAGAAACATATTCACAGAACTCTTCGATTGGTGTGACAGATATGTCTTTCCCGAAGAGTCTGTGCGGTGTCTTACAGGTGACCCCTTTGATGGCGTGCGACCGAATCCAAGTCGCGAAATCGGTTTTCCCGAAATCACACGTGCAGTTGATATCTGTTCACAATGTTATCAATTAGTGTTAATTTTTATAAATATTTCGAATTCAATAAAATTCATTACAATTTAAAGTTAATCTCTTGAGTCGCTTAAGACTTGATTGCAAATAGAAGGTGAGGTCATCGGGAACTGTCTTAATCTCATTGCCAAATAAATCCAAACTTTCCAAATGAGACAACACTTGTATAGCAATGGGGAAACTTCTCAACTTATTTTCCCTTAACTCCAACTGTTTGAGCGAATCTTCTAAATAACTGAAGGCGTCTTTACTTATATATGCGATGGCTTTGGCTCCTGCGCTGGAAAATTACTCCCCGCTCTTAATCTCTAATTTCTAACCAATTATTTGATTGACATTTTATAACAAATTTTTGACAATTTTTACTTGCTTACTGTATACACGTAACGTTAAAATGATAACAGAATATGAGTCAAAATAAATGATAAAAAATAAAGCATTAAATTTGTATTCACTTTATGTCCGGAATTAGAAACATATTCACAGAACTCTTCGATTGGTGTGACGGATATGTCTTTCCCGAAGAGTCTGTGCGGTGTCTTACAGGTGACCCCTTTGATGGCGTGCGAGCGAATCCAAGTCGCGAAATCGGTTTTCCCGAAATCACACGTGCAGTTGATATCTGTTCACAATGTTATCAATTAGTGTTAATTTTTATAAATATTTCCAATTCAATAAAATTCATTACAATTTAAAGTTAATCTCTTGAGTCGCTTAAGACTTGATTGCAAATAGAAGGTGAGGTCATCGGGAACTGTCTTAATCTCATTGCCAAATAAGTCCAAACTTTCCAAATGAGACAACACTTGTATAGCAATGGGGAAACTTCTCAACTTATTTTCCCTTAACTCCAACTGTTTGAGCGAATCTTCTAAATAACTGAAGGCGTCTTTACTTATATATGCGATCTCTATTAATACTATTATGTCTTATGGGATGCGCTGAAGAGGTGTCGCACCAAACAAACCACTCTTTAGATCAAGTGTTCAGCAAATTGTCTCTTCAATACATAAATCAGTTATCAATCAATGGTTTGACGAATCAAAAGACGAGATACGAGTGAACGACCCGTCAGTCCATTAGTTGTTGAGTTGTATTCACTGTTGGGTTGTCTTCAGTCTATAAAGAGATTGAAAATCAGGACATTTGCGATGAAAAGCATATATTGAATGCAAATATATATCATATTTATATCAATATAACCATTAAAGCCATACAACAGATACACAGCCTATGAGTGGCTATGAATGGGTTACGAGTAATGCAAACCAGAATACAGTGACCTTAATATCATAGCAGACCTACCATTGCATACCATATGATACCTCAGACATAAGTGACACTTCAGACAATCACTACACCATCAACTGGTCCACCAATTCACCCATCAGACCATCACTCGTACCGATTCAACACAGATGCTCATCGTCTCATCAAATGTCACTTCATTGACCACAAATTGTCTGATACTGTGGTGGAGACTAACTGTCACTCAATGCACTCAATACACAATTGGTGTTCAATGGGAGCCAGTGTTGGATGAAGCGGTCAAAGGCATTAATAACTGGGTTTCCAATGGATTGTCAAATACTGTGATAATTATCGCAATTAAATGTAATTTCCGTACAATTCGTACAATTCTACATCATTTGCAATGCAATCGCATTCACTGTTCACATACATTGTGTACAGTATAGCACTCACACACGTATTACATAACGTAATAATAGCTCAATCACTGCCCCCTCATGAGTGTCTAATCGTTTGTCAAATCAATGACTTTCATTTACTGCTAATTATTATACTAGTAGTGTCTCTTACAGTGCTATCGATGTTAAGCTTTTAATTAATTTTAAAATTTAAATAAATATACAGTAATATTTGTTAATTTGTTTGCAAATATATAATAATATAGTGGTACATTTTGGACACTATGATAATAATTTGTGCCAATTTGCATACTCATTAGAAAACTTCATTAGTATATCAAAAACAGAATTACATGATAAATGTTATAAAATCTTTTTCTTAACTTTTACTTACTTACTTGTTAATATTCAAATCATGCAATGAAATTTAAAGAATATTAATATTACAATTATATTACCTCCAAAAATAAATATTTAAAATATTTCAATATAATTCTATTGTATTCAATATTAGTGGTTATTCTTTAATTGTCTTTGATATTATTTTTTGAAATTTTTGATTAAATTAAAACTTTTATTAAGATTTCTAATAAGAGTCACAGGTTTCAAAGTCAAGGAAAATTGTTTTTAAATTAAAAACTAGTTATTATATCAATTAAGTAGTATTACGATACTTGTATAGTTAGAAAATATTAAAATAATTGAATCATCAAATAATTAAAGAACCAGTATTTATAATTGAGTTTAAATATTATAATTTAATTTGTTTCAAATATTTTTAAA